GGAAGTGAGCATTGTGGGCTGGATAGTGGACTTCCTTACCGACCGGTCCCAACAAGTGCGAGTAAATGGCGTCATGTCAAAGCAGCTCTGCTCCTCCACTGGATCCCCACAAGGTTGTGTGCTCTCTCCTCCCCTGTACATACTATACACTAATGACTGTCATAGCGAATATGAAAACAGGCACATCATCAAGTTTTCTAATGAGTCTGTCATCGTCAGTCTACTACAGGATGGAGAGTCTGAGCATGGGCCTGTGGTAGATGACTTTGTGTCATGGTGTGAGAACTGCTTCCTCCAACTGAATGTCTCCAAAACTAAAGATATGGCATTTGACTTTAGAAGGCAGCCACTGAACCCCACACCCACTGTGGTCATTGGAAATGACATTGAGCTGGTCAGTACCTACAAGTACCTGGGAACAGTGCTGGACAACAAATTGACGTTTGAGGAGAACACAGATTGAGACACCTACGTGAGAATGCTATTAATTGACTACAGCTCAGCATTCAACACCATAGTGCCCTCAAAGCTCATCACTAAGCTAAGGATCCTGGGACTAAACACCTCCCTCTGCAACTGGATCCTGGACTTCCTGACGGGCCGCCCCCAGGTGGTAAGGGTAGGTAACAACACATCTGCCACACTGATCCTCAACACAGGGGCCCCTCAGGGGTGCGTGCTCAGTCCCCTCCTGTACTCCCTGTTCACCCATGACTGCATGGCCAGGCACGACTCCAACACCATCATTAAGTTTTCCAACGACACAACAGTGGTAGGCCTGATCACCGACAACGATGAGACAGCCTATAGGGAGGAGGTCAGAGACCTGGCCGTGTGGTGCCAGGATAACAACCTCTCCCTCAACGTGACCAAGACAAAGGAGATGATTGTGGACTACAGGAAAAAGAAGACTGAGCACGCCCCCATTCTCATCGACGGGGCTGTAGTGGAACAGGTTGAGAGCTTCAAGTTCCTTGGTGTCCACATCACCAACTAACTATCATGGTTCAAACACACCAAGACAGTCGTGAAGAGGGCACGACAAAGCCTATTCCCCCTCAGGAGACTGAAAAGATTTGGCATGGGTCCTCAGATCCTCAAAAAATTATACAGCTGCACCATCGAGAGCATCCTGACTGGTTGCATCACCGCCTGGTATGGCAACTGCTTGGCCTCCGACCGCAAGGCACTACAGAGGGTAGTGCGTACGGCCCAGTACATCACTGGGGCCAAGCTTCCTGCCATCCAGGACCTCTATACCAGGCGGTGTCAGAGGAAGGCCCTCAAAATTGTCAAAGACTCCAGCCACCCTAGTCATAGACTGTTCTCTCTTCTACCGCACGGCAAGTGGTACCGGAGTGCCAAGTCTAGGTCCAAAAGACTTCTCAACAGCTTCTACCCCCAAGCCATAAGACTCCTGAACAGCTAATCATGGCTACCCGGACTATTTGCACTGCCCCCCCACCCCATCTTTTTACGCTGCTGCTACTCTGTTAATTATTTATGTATAGTCACTTTAACTCTACCCACATGTACATATTACTTCAACTACCTCAACTAGCCGGTGCCCCCGCACATTGACTCTGCACCGGTACCCCCCTGTATATATAGCCTCCCTACTGTTATTTATTTTATTTCTGCTCTTTTTTTCTCAACACTTTTTTTATTTTTTAAAACTTTTTTTATTAGAAATAAATGCACTGTTGGTTAAGGGCTGTAAGTAAGCATTTCACTGTAATATCTGCACCTGTTGTATTCGGCCAATAAAATTTGATTTGATTTGATTTGCCATCTGTAAAAAGGGACAGCAACGGCTTTTCTTTCTGAGAAAGATTAACTCTTTTAACGTCAGCAAGACAGTGATGACACTGTTTTACTGGAGTTTTATTGAATCCGTTTTGATGTTCTCGATGGTTTGCAACAGGTTGGACGAGGTGGTTAAGGTGGCCAGCAAGGTCACCGGGGTGCAACAGGCACAGCTCTTAGTGACATTCAGAAAGCGAGTGGTGAGGAGAGCTAACAGTATCCTAGACTGTCCTGGTCACCCCCTCCTTGACGATTTTGCGCTTCTCCCCTCAGGTCATCATTTTAGACTTCCCAAACTCAATAGCAACAGATACAATAACTATTTTATCCCACAGGCCATAAACTTTCTGAATCTGCACATGAAATGAAATGTATATTTATTGTTGCACTTTTGCACAATGATTGCTCCTTTTTATCAATCTCATTGTTTCATGTTATGTGTATATCGGTTGTATGGTTGTCACGGTTTTTAATGTTGTTGTTTTTTATTGTTGAACCCTGACTGCACAACACATTTCCCAATTGGGACAATAAAGATAACTAGAACAGTAGAGAAGCATATCAGAGATGGGCCCTCTGGTGGCTTGAGAGTTAAAGAATAAATGCATGTGAAAAAGAACCCCAAACACCAAGCTGTGACAGAGCATGAAGGTATCTTTCAAAATGGGACCACTTCTCATTGATCATCATTATTAGATAAGTTAGCACACACACCTTTATCAGGTTGGCTAGAAAATACACTTACATGGATAATTGAAAAAAAGTGACTTCTCATAGCTGTAAAAAAGGTAAATATTGCAATTTTCCACAGTACTTTTTCACCGTTTGGAAGCGACATCGGTGTGTAATCACCTTTTTAGCTGCACATTTTTACTGTTCAAATGCCTATATTTTTTGTTGTTGCCTGTTTTTCCTTTTTAAGTGTTGCAGGAGACATTAAAGTGAGACTGGTTGCATGATGCTGAAAACACTTAAGACACAAACCATACGCATATTTGTTATTTCCCCGTTGCTCATTTTGTGTCTATAATTTTGGTTTTTAAATGTGAAATTTTGAAAAATGACAGATGTCTGATTATGAATAATCGCTCTCAGTTCATGGAGAGCGCTAATATAATTTTCAATTCCATTTTCAGAGTTGATTCCTCTTACACAATATGGTGCCCGGGTATATCCACCATAATATTCTTATGGCATCCAATTGGATTACGGTAAACAGTTCAGATGCTCTAATTGGTCAGTGTGGTACGCACAGAGCAGATGTCAGGATTTTAATGAAGGCAGTAACTATATTTAGCCTAACAAAACATACCATCCATTCATAGATCTATGTGATAATCGAACCATATATACCAACGATTATTGATGAAACAATGCAAAGGGCATTGCTGTGACCAATTAATCCAGTGTTGTAAACTGTAAAATATCAGTGAAATTACAGCAATTCAGGGGTCATTGAAGGGTCAATAATCAGGGCGGAGATGTGTCTGAAAAACTAATTAAGGATTGTGCTTTTATGATCAGAAAAATGAATAGGTTTCGCCATCTGCTGTTTATCTTAGCAAGAAGCAGGCTAGGAAACAGCTACTTGTAAAATAAGGAGCCATAGTTCACCCAAATTGAAATAAAGTGCATTTATTTAAGAAAGAAAACAATTTGAAACCAACATCACAGTTTACAAATGCTTTCTTGAATTCTGTTAAGAAAATAAGCTTACCTACTAGCAAATAAAGCAGTACAAAGACTGTTCCCCAGAAATCGAAACAAAGTGAACTCTGCTACATTAGAGAATGTTCTGCTGTTTGGCAACTTGATCATTAGCCGTTTTGAGCTCTAGCCCCCAGAAAACAGACAAAGCGATGCATCAGAACCATGTCCAAAGTGCTGTTGGTTATCAGTGTAATTAACTACATTGCTTAATTCATTTTATGTCCAGCAACACCACTGGATGGGAAACATTTTTTTTAAAAAAAGCCCCTGGATCACAGCTTTAAAGATGAGACATTTCAAATGTTCTCTGGTGTCTTTAGTAGGCCTGAGTAGCAGTATAACACTGATCCCTCACCCCCAGACCAATCATGTCTGTGGCCCAAATGGAATCTAGACCCTACTATGCACTTGTGGAGATCTAATTAGCAATATGATTTTAATAAATTCCCCTAGGAGGGCAAGTTACACTTATTACCATATTGCGGACACCTATCAAATCCTCTCAGATCTGCATAAGAGCATAGGTAGGCTCCATTTGGGATTGGGAATGTTAGAGGGGAACGCTCCCTTCAGTACAAAATGATGCTACACGGAGCTTGCATCCATGTTCATCTCAGATCTCTCACACATCACTCAGTTCACAGGTCTATCTGTAGTTTCAAGATTTAAAAATACCTTAGAACCCTGTTGTGTTTGAGGTCTAACGGCCATATTCTTTGACATTTAAGAAAGGAAAAAGTGTTTGACAATGGATAGCCTACAATAATCCATGTTTCGACCTTGCCTGTTTGCGAGCACCACTGAACCGTGTGTATGTTCCTTGGTCATCCACAGGTAGGCACAGCGGCTTCTGCTATTGCGTTGTTGAGGTGCTGATGCTTGATGATGCCCAGTGACCATGGCCAACAAGATCAAGCACTCTTAAATAACAAGCCCTTAGCCCAATTGAATAAAACCTGGTTTCTGGGGCAAGTCAAAAACTTGTTTGAATTATCATGTTCACTTTCATTTTAACATTGCGTCAATGACAACAAATCCAAAACATGAATTCTTGCAGCGTAAGGAAAAAGGGTCGGAAGCACCAGCAAGATATTTTGTTTCATGACATTCTGTTCAAAGTGCAAAAATGCCATATTGTTGACCAGAAAACCATGTTTGATGTGTCTACAATAAACGAATATACTGCACTTTCACTAGTTTCAGAGATACTGTAGAACAATGGAACCCTGAGATATTAAATATTTTGAATAGCTGTGTGACTGGAGTGCTATTTCCAGGGTCATGTTAATAATACAAAAATATGTTTTAAACCTTTTGCAACAGGAAACTGAAAATGTGCAGGTAGTCCCTCCCGGTTTCATTCCGCTCCTTTCCGTTTGGTGCCTAATGAACCTGACCCAGGGCTCTAAAACAACAACCTTCCAGAGCCACAACTAAAGCAGCTACCAGTCACAGGTTTAACCCGATCTTGGCAACACCCAACAAAAACAATCACAGGTTGCAACCCTTACACTCCAGTGCAATGAAAATCCTTCCCAAAATAATCTCAAAGAATACCTGGATACCTCTTTGGGAGAGTGGAGTGGCTATGGCTCTGTTTTAAAAGGACGGGAGGAATCTTGACAGCTTCTACACTTTTAAGACAGAGCCTCAGTGTTATATAGAAATACAAATATAGCAATATACATGTTAGTTTTTTAAAACCAAAAATAGGTTTTGTTTATGACATATGTTACATGGATGTTTTGCCGGTGTCATGGCAGATTGTAGTGAAGGAGGAGGGGGGTGGGGTGGGGCTGGATTGGGGGTGTGGTGGTGGCCGCTTCTTGATCAACGAAAAGTTAATGCAGTTATGGCAAGGCATGGCCTTAATATTTTTTTTCCCTCATATTTTCCTCTTTTTACTTCTCTGTGAGCGAGAGCTGCAATATCCTCTCCAGCTCCTCCTCTTCCTTCTTCCTCCTCCTCCTCTCATCCTCGGCCTGGGCCCGGGCCGACAGCTCCATGGCCATGCGGAGGTCCGCATCGGGGCTTGAGGCCGAGGTGCCCGAGCTCGCCTGACTCGACGTGGTGTCTCCCAAGTCCACCAGCACCCCCTCTGGGATGCTTCTGGAAGAACAGAGGAGGGATATGGATATATTCTGAATACACTGCATGTGCTAATTGGAAGTCAATTTGGACAAAAGTGAAAAGTGTAGATAATGATATGCATGAATACTTGGCGTACCCGTCACTCTGGCTACTGAATATGGGGTCCGTGAGGTCACCATTGGCATCCTCCCATGTCACTTCCTAGAGGACAAAAAAAAAGGGTGGAGTTAGTGAGGTGAAACTCTTGGCACGTCCAGATAGAACTGGCATAAACTTAACGGACAGGATTCCCTATTCCTTATGTCAGACAATAATATAGTTTCCATACAATCCACTATCTGGAAGTTTTGCAACATTGCAGCTTCCTGAACAGACCGACCACTGGTCGAACAGATGAACACCAAGGCGGCGGCCGTGAGCGCAAGAGGACCAGATAGGGAGTGAAACAGATGAGTAGGAGGGGGGTGTGTGTGTGTGTGGCATCTAGGACCTGTCCCAGGGCTCCACCACCGGACTCCAGCAGACTCTGGTGGATGGCATACTGCAGTAGCTCCTCGTCGTGATTTGACACCGCCGTGTGGCGGCTGCCACCCCCTCCTCGGTGGCGGTAGTGTGAGGGCACCTCGAACACTGAGGGGCACACCTGGAATAGAGGGGGAACTGGGTGGAGGGAACAGTCATACAGAATGATGTTACTAGTGGTGGCTGTCAATATTGACATTTCGACTAAAAGCGATATGGATACAAACATTAATATTGGTTGTTCAGCTGTTAGATGCAACTGAAGAAATACATTTGAGAAATGACTAAATGTGTGATTTGTTTTGTTCAGACCCCATGGGGACAAATTCCGGGGTCACCCTGGTCAGCGGCATGGGCGTGCCTTGCCTACCTGCAGCTTCCCCACAGCTGCCCTCCTCGGGTGTGGCAGTGGAGGGGTCGCCCGTACTGCATTTGTTGACACTGCCAAATGAAATGCGGGCGTTGAGCACATGGAATAGGGGAATCTCTGAGTGAGAGGAAACAAAGACAGGTCACTCCATGGATCCCATTATTTATAAGCAAATGCCTCTATGGTGGGCTTTTCATTGTGGTACCTTGTATGTGTAGGTGCCGTTTTTCTCAAATCAGGCCCGTATGTATGAAGCGTCTCAGAGTAGGAGTGCTGATTTAGGGTCAAAAGGAATAAGATTATATGGACAGGGGAGCCTGATCCTTGATCAGCACCTCCTCTGAGACGCTTGATACAGTTGTGCTTGAATGAGCCGAGTGGCACAAGCATTTTGTGTAAACCTTCTCATTTCATCACTCTGTTCCACAGAGGTGTGATTGTACCTATTTTTACAGGGAACCCTGGAGGGAACTTGAGGGTGACAAAATCCCGCAGCCGGGCGAAGTGGGTGCTGGTCCGGGCCATGAGATCGATGATGGGGGTGACCTGCTCCACCAGGGAGAGGGGGTGTTCCTCGCTCATCCACAATGTACCCTTGAACCTGGACACATCAGGGTCGTATTCATTATTGTACACCGTAGCAAAACATTTTCCAATGGAAAACAAAAACAATTTATAATTGGACAAGTTAAGCTAGTCCCTCCTGTTTCAGTCCATTTTCTTCTGTTTGGTGCCTAATGAATACGAACCAGAAAACACTGTCGTCGTGTTTGAGGGATCAGTTTGAGGAAGCGCAGAATTGCTAATCTTGATCCCATCATGAGTAGTTATTTGGGATGCAGGGTGATTTGTAGATATGGCGATTTGTAGATTATGCGCACTGCAAAGTAGTCCCATCTCAATACAACCACCCTTATGCTAAAACCTAAACACCAACACCTTCATATGAACTGAGAGGGAACCCGTTATAAAAACAATCAAGACTTCTGATGACATGAATATTGATCAGAAAGCCTCTCTCTTGGGTTTTGCAGCATAATTGTCTTACTTCTGGGTTCGGACGGTAAGTTCAATGGGCCGGCCAATGTCTCGGTCTTCAAGGTCAAACGCAGGGTCAAAGTACTCCTGTGGTGTGATGGCGGTGGGGTTGGTGGCTGTTGCATACTCCAGAGTGAGGTCCTATCCACAATATGACCAGAGTAGAGCATTCTTATTGAAGCCATTATACACCAAGTTGAGCGTTCTTATTGAAGCCCATATGAACCAAGACGAAGCATTCTTATTGAAGCCATTACAAATCAAACAGGCAAGTAAGATTCTGTCTATATAGGTCATACAAAAATGAGATAATCCACCATAACCTCAAATTCAGGTCTGCTGATTTCTTACCCCTTGAGCACTTATCTGCTGCTCCACAGTGCCCAGAAGATACTCCAGAACATTCCTCTCACCTAGAAGCCAAAAAAAAAGAGACAATCCACACAAAGCGTTATTGTGTCTGACAGAGCGCTAGTCTCCAACAAGTCCCCTTCTAAACAGAGACAGGTCATTTTGGTTCTGCGTACTCTCTCTGGGTTATGTAGGGAAAAGGGTGCCATTTCAGATACAGACCAACTGTTGTTATGTCTCTCTACCACCAACTAGAGGAATCATAGAGTGTATACTTTTTATTCTAGCCTTCTCCTCATCGGTGAGATGCTCTGTCCTTGTCCGGATCACCACGTTTACATTGTTCACAGTGAAAACCTGCAATGAAAATAAAAACAGCTCATGCAGTATACCGCATACTATCCTTCCAGTTACTGCTACTAAAATAAAATAACAACTGACCATTTAAAAAAAGCTGGCAATCTACTGTAGATCTTGTCAAATTAAAGAAAGGGACTTGTGTAAGGTCAGCAAACCAAGACAAGCAACAAAATAATTATATATCAACAACACAAGAATGCTTTAAGAAATGCACAAACCTTAGCCTCGAAACCATTGACAACTTCCGTTTTGTCACTCCTCCAACCCAAAATCCCAGATTTATTTCTGTGAAAAACAATTTAATGTCGTGTTACTATAAATCCATGTACAAGTTTACACATCCTTCAACATACTTATTATATTACACAATAGAGAAACAAGATAAAGTATGGTTTGGGTCTTGCCTCTCAAAAGCAATGTCCCTGGTGTCCAGAAAGGTATTAACAATGGGCGTGGTCAGCCGCTTGGCCACTTCCTGTTCTGCAGGTTGCATGGAGTCCAGCGTTACGTCTTCTATCTCCCTGGAGATGTCAAAGCGCTCCGTGACCACCACCTCTTCGTCATGGTTCACCTCCATGAACTCGGTGCAGGTATCTGCCAATGGGCACAACCACACACTATGAAACATGCCAACAGAGCAAAAGACGAGGTAAAAGATGAGACGGCCTGCTGAAACAGAGGTCAGGAGGACACAGTTGCGTGCAAGCCTCACTCAGGGGAAAAAGGGACTCACCATCTCCTCTGAAAATGAAACTCCGACGACCTCTGATCCAGGTCATGTTCTCGAAGCCTAGCAGAGTGGCATCCACGCGCAGGCTGGCCCCACTCTTCCAAATCCGACACACGTCGCCGGGACAAACCCGGGACACGAGAGGGACTGGGAAAGGATGGGAAAGCAATGTAAACAACAACGTCTCAAACATCTACACACGGCCAATTCTAAAGGGGGATTTTCAAGTAGAACTTACTCCAACTTGTGAACTCCCATTTCATTTCCATGTAGAAATCCGCGGACTGGGGGGGATTGAAAAGAGGCATGAGTTTGCGGTTCTTTGTTTTTTTTGTGATGAGTGAAAAACATTTCAGAGAGGGGAGCAAACAGAGAGAGTAAGAGAGAGGGCGAGAGAACACCTCACGGATCTTGCTCAGAAGCTCAGGCACTCCTCCCAGAGCTGTAGAGGCTTTGAGGTAGTCTCTCCGCTGGAGCACTAGCTGCACCATCTCTGGGTCGCCGGTGCTGACCGCCTCCTGCAGCACTACACACGATCATGTTTAAAACAAGAAGATATTTTAAACATATAACATACTTCTGTGACAATAAATGTATACAAAATAAATTATTGTTATGGCCAGCATCAACTACTAAGCTGTGTGTGTAGTAACAAGAGCTATTGTGTGAAGCAGTGGAAATAAATCATGTGTCCCACTTCGACTGGAATAGACACCTACTGATTCAAGCGTACATGTTGTGTGAAATTGATACAGACACCCCCACTGTCCATGTGTGGAAGTGACTTTGATCACACAATTTAACAACCAACAAATAGACCTATACCAAGGTGTCAGATGAAGCCATAGCCCTATAAATAGTATGCCAAAGTCATGGTATTAATAAACATTTACATTTGGATATATGTTTTATTTTATTCATTACATAAATAAAAAAGACAATATCCAAATGTAAATGTTTATTATAAAATATCATGAATGTGGCATTCTATTTATAGGGCTAATGAAGGCAAAACACAGAGGTCTGAATTGTCATGGAGGATAGCCTGCCTAACCTGTCCAATTCTTGGCATTCTCTTTGGTAACTTCAGCGCCATGTCTCAGAAGCACTCTCACCGACTCCAGGTGGCCCAGTGACACAGCCAGGTGGAGCGGTGTCCTTCCCCTGGGATCCACAGCCTCGACGTCGTTCTGAGAAGAACAAACAAACAAACAAGCATTGCAATGGCTTCAAAAACAAATAGCCTAGCTACCTAAAGAGAATCTCTCGAGATCGTCATCATACACACTGGAAGCTATAGCTACACTGAGGGGATTCGATCATCTGGCCCGGGTTACCCCGGTGGGAGGAGTTTGCACCGAGTGAAAAGTGATTGCATTAGATTTCCCCATGGATATTCAGTCTGAAAGAAATCTGCATAAAAAAGACAATAGTCTACAAGTCAGAATGTTGAATAAAATGACATTTACACTTACTTCACCAGTTGTACATGCTGTTGGTCCATTTGATGGTAGGATGTGGAGGTAAAATATCCACAGGAAAGTGTTGTTTACCCAACTTTTTGCGGTGCCGGTAGGTTCTGCCGCTTGTATTTTCAATCTCCTGATGCATTGCACAATATGTAAACAATAGCCGAATGTAACCGAAAGTATCATCCAAAGCACATTTCCTCGCAATCTGGAAGTGTTAGTGAAATTTGCCAGTTGATTGTGAAGGACAACGTGCGCTCTGTGGTTCGGTTAGGCTCGGCCATATTGTGCAAGTGTTTGTCGGGTGCGAATTGTGTCAATATTGAAAATAAACTGGAAATACAAACCAGTATACTTAAGGTCGGATTGATAACGCTTCTCTGTGGATATTTTGTATCAGATTACCTCAGACATAGTGGCAAAATCGGCAGACAACATGTAAAGTAAGTTGAAATGGAGTTTGTTCAACATTCTGACTTGTAATGGGATTGTTCGGGAATGCTGAGCCTACATGGTAGAGACGAGAGTGTATTTCGCTCTCCTATTCTAAAAGAGGCTACATGCTGCATTGACTGAGCAGCTCAGATTACTGTTCGTTTGAGAAGGGCGCTCCTCCCTCACCGCTTTTGCATGTCACGGGCCATAGACCGGTTCACCGCAATAAATCCCCCATTTCCTGTTAATGACAAATACTCAACTGACAACAAAAACATTTAGAATGGAGTAAAGCAACCATATCTTTGGGTTATGATTAGCTGAGAATGATCCACTCCACGACATGTACATCACATCTCAATTCTCAGCTAGGTTATTATAATAGGAAAATACAGTTTCTAAACTCTTAAGGCGTTTCTATTCTTCAAGAATCAGTGGCCAGGCTATACCAGGTGTCGAACAGCAGGAAATAGCCTATGCAAAGTGAAACCAGTAGTAACGTTAACAAGAAGGCTAGCTATGCTGAATGAAATGTGTACTGTAGTTAATATCATCATGATTAATGATGCAACATGGCATTCCGTGAACGGATAAAATGGCATACATAGCCTAGGAATTACGCCAATCAAATTGTATGGTTCTCCATGTCAGGCCAAGTAGCTAGCCAGCTTCAGACATTTTGAAGCAGATAGATCTAGATCTGTAGTTAGCTAGCTAAAGGCGGCCAAACAGGCAAGTAGCTATAGCTAGCTCATTGTCCATATTTTGACATAACTACCTTTGTTGAGTCGTTTTCCAATTTCCTGTAATCATTTTCCCAGACTAAGGAATGTAGTGGAAACTTCACCCTGAAATCTTCGTTGGCCGCGGATAACATCTTCCCCCAACGTTACTAGTTTCAACTTCTCAATATAGCTAGCTTATATTTACAGCCATGGACAACCTAAGCTAAACCTTAACGTTGAAGAAATGTTAAACAATGCACCTCATCTCATATTCCAACTGGATCCATGTCAAATTGTGCTAGCCATAGATAGCCAACTAACGTTACTACCAAATAAAACTTTTCGAAAAACAAGGAAGTGTCACGTTGAGACATTGTGGTACGGGTGTTTGAAATAAACTATTTGAGGATAAAGACCAATATAGGACTATATTTATGAATAAATATTATTATTTGTATATATTTCTTAAATAAAAGACACGTTTTTAAGTTCAATATTAGCAAATAACAAATTCCGCCTCCCGAAAAATGTATTTTTTTTTCTCCAAGCAATGACGTTACCATGTTACGCTATGGGCGGGGGAAGCGAGGCTTTACTTCTTCTTCAATGAGTTTTAACGGCGGTTGGCATCCAATTTGTTGCATTACCGCCACCTACTAGACTGGAGTACAACTCCCTTATATTTTGCTTGAAAAATAAAATAAAGAAATACCCTACCATCTAACACTACACTCACAAATTCAAAATTATTATTAATAATTAACACCACCCTTCCCCACTATTTAAATATATTCATTCCCACCTCATATCCTCAACCTGAAATGATGGGACATCACCACTTAACAATCCCTGTAACTCTTCTGATGTCAAGTCTCGTACACCCAAATACCTCTCTGCAGCTGCCACCACAACCTCAATTTTCTTCGACTTACGTTCCATCCCTGCAGTACAATTAATAACCATTGCTATAAACAATAAAAATCCAATCTTACTGAAACATATCACTTGCTGGCCTATCACTCTGTACTGGTAAAAACCTACTACTCTCACCACTCCCACTCCCCCCCCACCCTTGACACCTCTTCCTCTACTTTCTTCACTGCCTCAGCATGTGACAACTTCTTCACTACTCTTACCCTGGAAACCTCAACCTGCTTCTCTCGCACGGGACATTTCTGATCCCCAGCCCCATGGCCACCCCTACAATTAGCACATACCACTACTTTCCCCAATGCTACACATTCCTTTGTTTTATGCCCTTCTGCACACCTTGGAACCTCCCTCCTACATACTGCTGCCACATGCCCATAAATGTGACACCTGTAACATCGTAATGTAATGTATTCGGCACATAAGCTCATACAGGATAACTTATATATCCTAACTTCACTTTGTCTGGCAAAGACAACTTCAAAACTCAAAAGAACAGACAATGACTCTTCTGTTTCCTCACTCTCGCCATCCGGTGTGCGTCGCACCAAACAACGAGCATCACAAACACCGGGAATCTTCAGTTGGTCCACTTTTTACATTTACTGCTGTCGTAGTAAATATTAAAATGTTATAGCTTGGTCTGACTAAAATCTTGTGCATGACCCATTTTAATGTTAGGAGCTTGTTTTCAATCAATGCTGTTCCTATGCAAGAACAATGGACAGAGCCAATATCTTCTCAAGGACAACACCCACGCCACAGGCCACAATCTGGTTGCTCCCCACGAGTCTTTCCTTTGAGAACATACACACATTCACACACACATCTCCATGCATACGCACACTCATCCTCATGCCTCACGAGTTACGCACACACACAAACTGCACTTCTTTCTACTGGTCGGGTGCCTAGGGCAGAGGACTCTGCCGTGCACAAAATGGGGCTTCTACTCTGGACAGAGCAGACCCGCCTCCTACGCCTCCGGAACCAATCAAGGGACTAGAAGAAGGACCCCTTCCTTTGTGTTGCATTGTATAAAGTAATGCTGAAAACTCTGTTTTGGATCCCTTTTCAACTGTCTCCATAAGAGGCAACTGAATGGGTCCATGCATGTAGCTTGAGCAGTACCAGCTATCTCTGTTGTTTAATAAACTGCCTTTTGCTTAAGCATATTCCTCTCTGTCTAGCGTCGTTGGTTTGTACTTCCTCTCCTTATGGTTCCACCAACACTGCTACCCCAGTAATCACTCCTTTCAATGGCGCCCTTTTCTTGAGAGCGAAACAATTCACAATTATTTCCCCCATTTGTTTAACTCTGAGCGCCTTCTCCCTCTGCCCAACAGAAACACAAACAATTATCACTAGACCACTTCTGATTACCCTCACCGATTCCACTACACCCAACGCTTTTTTCACCCATCTTGAAACCACAAATGGATCAGCCAAAAGGCAAGGGTCCAATTTTTCCAAAAACTTCACTCCTACTGTCACGGACTCATCTTCATCCTGACCCTCTGTGAAAGCCTCTGGCTCCGAGTACTACCACACCTACCACCTCCGATACTTCACCCTCATTCACTTCCATTTCTCCTCCTGTATTCAGCTCACTTTGCTTACATTTCCTACCATTCTTCTTTACCAAACCTTCTCCCCTTTCCCCGCCTCAAGCTCACATTCTTCCTCCCTCTCTCTCTGCCTCTCTTTTTCCTTCCATTCCTCCTCCGCCATCCAAGTATACGTCTCCTTATCCCACAGCTGTCTGTTAGACATCGTTTTTCCTCCACCTTCAGCCACCAACTAGCTAGCGCTGTGAAAGAAATCAGCGTCTCTCAGCGAGGCTTTACTAATTTCTGCCAATACAAATACTTTTTCGTACATATAATTTAAGTATTGTAAATATAGAAATGTACTTTAAGTAGTGCATATTTGCGCAATTAAATTGCAAATCAATGACAACAATTCGTGTTGTTATTGATTTACCATGCGACGCTTCCCTTTACCACAACAACAACAACAACAACAACCACTTACCAAGGTCATTGCTAGAAGGGATCCAGCTTTTGTCAAATGAACGTCAAAAGTTTTTTCTTTCTTTGCCTTTTATACTGAACAAAAATATAAACGCAACAATTTCAACGTTTTACTGAGTTACAGTTGAACTAAGGAAATCAGTCAATATAAATAAATAAATTAGGCCCTAATCTATGGATTTCACATGACTTGGCACCCACTCCGGAGCCAGGCCCAGCCAATCAGAATGAGTTTTCCCCCACTGAAAGGGATTTACTACAGACAGAAACACTCTTCAATTTCATCAGCTGTCAGGGTGGCTGGTCTCAGACGATCCCAGAGGTGAAGAACCTGGATGTGTAGGTCCTGGGCTGGCGTGGTTACAAGTGGTCTTCAGTTGTGAGGCCGGTTGGATATACTGCCAAATTCTCTAAAACAACATTGGAGGTGGTTTATGGTAGAGAAATGAACATTAAATTATCTGGCAACATCTCTGGTGGACATTCCTGCAGTCAGCATGCCTATTGCACGCTCCCTCAACTTGAGACATCTGTGGCATTGTGTTGTCTGACAAAACTGCACATTTTAGAGTAGCCTTTTACTGTACCCAGCACAAGGTGCACCTGTGTAATGATCATGCTGTTTAATCAGCTTCTTGATATGCCACACATGTCAGGTGGATGGATTATCTTGGCAAAGGAGAAATGCTCACTAACAGGGATGTAAACAAATTTGTGCACAACATTTTTGAGAAATACCCTTTTTGTGCACATATGGAAAGTTTCTGGGATCTTTTATTTCAGCTCATGAAACATGGGACCAACACTTTACATGTTGCGTTTATATTTTTGTTCAGTATAGCTAACCCTAACTCTTAACTTTAACCTAATTATCCTAACCTGCCACGTTAATTATCCTTACATGCTACATAACGTCAAATCTGAAGTTAATTTGACAAAAATGTGATCCCTTTCTAGCCATGACCACTGAACAACTAGCTACAACAAAGATTGTGGATAATTGAAGATAATTTACTCCGGTCGTTTAACGTTGAAAAAAAGATCACTTCCGGTGTACTTAACGGGTGGCTCTCCCATAGACACCAATGTGATAGCAACGGGGACTGGTCTACTTAAATATTCCATTTTGCAGACGGTTTTATCCAAAGCGACTTACAGTCATGCGTGCATACATTTATGATCGAACCCACTACCCTGGCGTTACAAGCGCCGTGCTCTACCTGCTGAGCTACAGAGGACTTCCATTGAAACAGAAAACATGAGGGAGTAGGATGTTTCGCATCCTCTTCCGTCTCTACTAGTACTAGTAGAGACGGAAGAGGAAGCGAGACACCCCACTCGCTGTTTTTTTCTGGTTCAATGAACTAAGTAGACTAGACCCAGTTGCTATTACATTGGTGACTATGGGAGACACGCCGAGTTAAGTAGACCGGAATTGACCATTTTTTCAATGGTAAACGGCCTGAGTGAACTATCTTCATTTATCCACCATCTTTGGTACTAGTTAGCGCACACATTTTGGCACACTCAACCAGCTACTTTTTAAATTAAACAGTCGTTTGGCTGACCATTTTACATTGTAGGCGACTGCCAATTGACTAATCTACAAAATACTTTTTATGTAGTGTTACTGCTGTCCATTGATATATTTCGTAATTCCATTCTGAATAGAAGTACTTTCACGAGCTGGCTCGGCTACGGTTTGTGCTGTCCGGGATCCTAGACGTCCCAAGGATTCCAGATGGCATGGACCGCTCGGCTACAGGGTTTTAACTAGTTACCACAGCCAATAAAATCGACTATATCATAAAAATTCATGAAAACAAAAACGTGTTTTGGGGTCTTCAATTGAGGTTAGGGTTAGGTTTTGGTTTAAAATCAGATTTTAAGAAGATACATTTGAGAAATAGGCGGGGTTTATGACTTTGTGGCTGGAGTAACTAGTGAAGACCCGGCTACACACAACTAGTGGCAAGAGAGTTTCCTTCCTGACAATCGCAGCTGCTTGTTGTGTGCAAGCTAGCTAGCGGTAGCTTGGTTGGAGCAAGAAACTAAGATTGAAGAGGAAACTATTTTGCTCCTCTCCAATCAACTGCTCTGTCTTTTTAAAACAACAGGTCATATGTAATTCGCTTTGATCAATTCTTCCCAGCTATCAAATGAGTATATAAACACTCATCAATTCCCTT